CAAGCTCGGGTCAGCCCAGCTCTTTCACTTGGCAGGCGGACGCGCATCTGTGGCTCACTTTCCCGATTCTGCCCAGCCCGCCTGGCTCTGGAGCGGCCCTGGCAGGATGAGCAGATGGCCCGGCGGGGAGGTGCTCACTGCCTTGGCGAGAACACCGCGGCAGCAGAAGAAGGGAAAGCAATGGTGGCAGAAGGTCTCCCGATATGAAGTGCCCCACCAACACCGAGGTCAACGCAGGTAGCACCATATCCGGGTATGCAACAAAAGTACTTCCTAACGGCAAGCCCTCCCCATGCTATTTCTCCCCCATTTCGTATGTTTAATATAGGCCTTAATTTGGAGGGAGGGGCTTAATTTCATTTTATGCCATGCTGGGACTTTCTATTGGGGGAGGCCGTATTGTTGGAGAAACACGGTAAAACTAAAATCTTATGGTATCTCTGGACACCTACATAACTGGATAGATGCATTTCTGTCAAACAGATAACAAATGGTCAAAATTGGAAGTGTCCTATCAAATTCTGTACCTGTCAACAGTGGTGTCCCCCAAGGCAGTGTTCTAGGACCAACTCTCTTCATACTCTACATAAATGACCTCTGTGATCATATTAAGAGCAACAGCGTTCTCTTTGCTGATGATGTAAAGCTATTCAACACCACAGACAATATTACTACCCTCCAAAAAGACCTTTACTATGTATCAGAATGGTCAATCAAATGGCAACTTCAAATCTCAACAAATAAATGCTGTCTTACATATTGGCAGAAAAAAACAGAAAATAAAATACAAGCTAAATAGTCAAGACCTTGTTGAGGATCCAAACTTTGTCAAGGACCTTGGAGTACTCATCTCAAATGATCGAAGTGCTAAAGCCCACTGTAACTACATAGCCAAAAAGGCATTAAGAGTTGTTAATCTAATCCTACGTAGCTTCTTCTCTGGTAATATCACACTATGTTAGACCTATACTTGAATACAGCTCATCAGTCTGGAACCCATATCATGTATCTGATATTAACACAATTGAAAAAGTCCAGAAATATTTCACAAGAAGAGTTTTCCACTCCTCTACTCATTGCAGAATATCTTATGCCACCAGACTTGAAACTCTAGACCTAGAAAACCTAGAACTACGCCGCCTCGTGTCTGATCTAAATATAGTATATAAAATCATACATTGCAATGTCCTACCTGCAAATAAATACTTCAGCTTCAGTCATAACAAAAGCACACAATAGATACAAACTCAAGGTTAACTGCACCAACCTTGACTGAAGAAAATACGACCTCAGGAAAAGAGTGGTCAATGTTTGGAACACTCTACCTGACTCTGTGGTTTCCTCCCCAAACCCCAAAAACTTTAACCATAGACTGTCTACTATTGACCTCACCCCCTTCCTAAGAGGCCTCTAGGGGGTGTGCATAAGCGCGCTAATCGTGCCTAGCATCCCTGTCCTATTGTTTCTTTTATTTTTTCTTATGGGTATCTATCTCATGTATTCAAAACTATGTTTATTCTTATACCTGTATCTTGTAAGCGATTGACAAATCAGATAAATACTAAAATACTAAAACTGCAGCATATTTAACCAACTGTCTTCGCAGTAGGGAGAAAGGTCATTATAATTTCACATCAGCAAAATCTTGCAGAAAAGTGGCCAATTTGTAGCAGTGCCATTTTGCGCCATGACAAGACATATCCGTGACTTAAGCTTTTTTTTTTTCTTTTGTGCCTTTGAGTCAGTGTTGATACCTGGGGACTACCTGGAAAACTTGCAGTTTTCTTAGCAATGTTTGCTCTTGTCTGCTTCCTATGGCTGAGAGTGACTGGCCTAAAGTCACCCGACTGCGTTTGTGCATAAGGCAGGACTAGAATTCATGTCTTTCAGTTTCTACCCTAATACCTTGATCACTGCACCAAACTGGCTCTCAAGCTTTAGGTGACTTTATTATCTTCAATTTAACAGAAATTCTGCTTTCATACATAGAATTCTTTATATGAAGGGTGGATGGAATTGGCTGGTTGCAGAACATATCCTAGTGGAGATATTTTTTTATTATTACTTACAGACAGCAACACTCCAGAATAGTTGAAACTGTTCATGTAATACTGTTGATTAATTGAATACCAGATGCGTTTATGAGACATAGGATCCACATTGCAGACTTGGAAATAATGTCTGAATCAGTATGTTCTTTACCATTGAATTATCTATCACACTACATCGGTTCTCTTACAGAACAGATGGCAGAATCTTATTTGAATGTATTTGTGTAATCCGTATTTGGTTCACTGAAAGAATTCACACACAAGCACACACATCAATTAAAAACAGCTTAGAGATTTAATCCAAAAAGCTTAAATTTCTGGCAATACCATTTTCATATGGATTCCAACCTAGAGGGGAGGGGAATCTGCTTTGCAACAAAGATAGGTTATTCTTTTGCACTTTCACCCCATTAGGAGAAAATATTGAAGAACTGTGTTTTTTTTCACCTGTTGTGCATTAGCTTCTTTTTGTACTGAAGTTCCACACTGAATGTCCAGGCATAAACCTGTCCCATCTTGCTTTGAGTCCTTTAATTTAACCATATTATGTTTGTTGTAAGTCACCCACAATTTCTTAAGATGTACAGTCATTTACATAAATATTTTAACAGACAAAATTGTACACATGGATCTTTTCAAGGATAATATATGTGTGTTTGTATTCTAAAGTTTTTATTCAGAACATGGATTGATAAATGAAATCCAGATAGAAGTGATGTTTATAAAGACACAGAAACATTGATATCTGATTAATATATTTCTATGTGGTTTTTAGTCTTATATTTAAAACTACATTTATGTCTTTTAGATATGCTCAGAAGTGCATTAAAAGGCACTGGAGAAACTGCTCCTTTTCTACACAATATTCCTACTTGCCCTTATAACAATTCTTATGCAAATGAACAGTGGCTATATAGCTCATAGACTCAAGTGAGTGTCCACAGCAAACCAAGATGTCAAAATAACAAGCACGTCATCACATAAAAGCTGTGATTATTGATCCCTTTGGGGGAAGAAAGCGGTGGCTTTTGTGTAATATCATCCTACATTTTGGCTCTTGCACCTTTTGCCTCATCCTTCTCCCCCCAAAAGTACCCTCATTTTCTGGAATTAAACAATGTAGTAATATGGCAGAGAGTTTGAAAAGAAAGAGTGATATGGCTTGCTCTATGCTTCTGAATGTTTTTATCCTACAAGTGGAATAAAGTATTCTGGAGGTCTACACATTGACTGGATTCATATATACTATATAGTGCATTTAATCTTGGTTTATGAAACATGCCACTGTTTAATTAAGTTCAGTCAGTGCTTCCACAGTTCCACACTGTGGAAAAAGATCCTCAATCTTTCTAGGCTGGTGGGCACATTTGGAAATGTTGAGAACATTGGCTGCTGGAATTGCTTGGCCATTAACAAAATGACTGCTGTGGGGGATAGAAGCTACTATAGTGCAATGAGTTTAGCAGAACCTGCTTGACATCCTCTCTAAAAGATAAGGCAGCTGCAGCTCACTGGGGAGGTTTGCAGAGGTATCTAGGAGCAAATGCTGGAGGGCAAGAGGGTGAGTAGAGGCTCTAATCACACTCCTTGCCCTCCAGCATGTGCTCCTACCTGGGGCTCATTTAGGTGAGAAATCAAGACAATGTTGGAAGTTCATGCTTTGCTTGGCAAAGTGCTAGCTAGAAAACCTGGTGGGGGCAGTTCAGTGGACACCAGTGGAAATGCCCGGAGGTACAACTGGCGCTTTTGCCGCACCACATTCAGGATCCCAGCCATAACCTTCATTTTACAAGTCGCAACCTGGTGCTAAATTACAAATCCCCCTTTCCGGTTGAACGTGGAATCGACGAGTCCAGCTATCACCGTTTTCTATTGAGGCGGCTCAGCAGCAAAACACGCACTGAAGAGGGAAGGGCGAAAGAGCAGAGAAGCAACGAGTTCTTCCACGCCCGGGAAGACTTTTCTGACGGCTGAAGGGGCGCGCGATTCGGGCGCGGGTGAAGTAGAGTCAGGGAGGCGCAGCTGAAATTACCCACAATTCTTTCTCCAGCCCCTGCAAAGAGGTGGAGGTTAGGGTTTAGTTTTGCGCGCGCGCGCGCGCACACACACACACATACATACAAACCTCTGCAAGCGGGGATGGGGGGGTGTGTTGGCGACGGAAAGATGAGAAAAGGAGGGAAAAAGGCGCGGATGGTAAACGCATGCGCTCTTTATCGCCGGCGAAAGGGGAACCCGTCCCCTTTTCATCTGAACCCCATGCTCCTTGCAACGTTGCTCGTCGTTTGACAGTCAAACCACCCTCTGTTCTCAGAGCTGCAAAGCCCGCCCTTACTCTTCCTTTCCCCGTTGCCCCCCGAGAGAAAGCGCCGCCGCCTCCTTTTCCCGGGCGCTGGCTTTTGACTACGCGGTGGCAACTCCCCGCGTTTGCCTTTCCCTGCTGACTCAAGCCCGCGGGAGAAATGGGAGCAGAAGGCGCAGAGGAGGATTGAAGGGATGCCGTCCCTCCGCCTCTTGAGCAGGGTTGTGCCCTTTCCCGGCTGCCCCCACCCTCTCTCTCCCTCTGTGGGAAGAAAAGGGGCTCGCGCCCAGCGGAGGCGAAGTGGGCGCTTGTGAGGAGCGGGCGGGAGGAGAAAGGGACGCGTCCTCCGGGTCGAAGCTGAAGGGGGTCGCGGGCGGATGAAGCAGCCCCCCGCCGCCAGGAGGAGCCGGATTCCGCAAGGACTCGGGGCAGCGGCTCCGCCCCTCTCTCTCTTTCTCTCGCCAACTCCGGTCCTCCTCCAGCATTCTCCAGGGGCGCCGCTGGAGGGAGGGAGGTGCTGCAGAGGCAGCGTGGTGCATGGGAGAAGCGCGCCGAGGCCAGAAAGCCTCGCCTCCCGGAGCGCGGACCCTGGAGGAAAAACCCCCTCCTGCACCTGGGCTTTTTTGCCTGCTGCTTTCAAGCCTCCAGGGGCTGGCCGCGGACTGCGTGGCTTCTCGTAAGTCTGAGGGGGAGTCACCGCCTTTTGGGGCGGGGGGGCGGGAGAGGGTCTTGTTATGTTGGCGTTTTGGCTCACCTCTGCTGCTGCACTGGCCGCGGGTGGGTAGGTGGGTGGAAGGAAGGAGGGAGAAGTTGCTTTGTTTGCGTGGGCTGCTGGGGGGTTGGGGTGGCGCTGGCAGTCTCCCCCGTCCTTTCTTCCTCTACATCATAGCATCTTTGGGAGGCTAAGAACCAGAAGCGAATGAGTCAGTCATTATGCGTGCGTGCGGCTCTCATGGCTGTGGGAACATTATTATGTCATTTCCTAGGCTTAGCATCCTTTTCGTGTCAAGAGGGGAAAACCTTTTGGTGGCCGAGGTCGTTTGTGATCCGAAGTCGGCTGGGACTGCAGCCTTATCTGTTCACATTTCCCCCTGCGAGGTGTAATGGCAGATGTATCAGATATCTCGGCTCTCCTCACAAATTCATTTGGGTTGCTGATGATGTGTCAATGTACGCACAGAGGGCATTGCGAAAGGATTTCCGTATGAAAGACCGGTCATTTTCCCCAAATTCCCTCGGGATTTATAATTACTATGTGAAAACGGCAACAAACTAATACAATTATTCTTTGGACATGAAGTTTCGGGAATCAGACTGAGTCAGTGGAAACATTGGCTTGAAAGGTTTCCTTTGGCAAAGAATTAGATGGGGGGGGGGATTGTAAGAAAAGCCAGAAAGTGTTTAAGTGAATGTAATGCCAACAATTCTCAGAAATTATTTGAATGTTATATTGGATATCAATTGTCATATATAATCATTAGTTTATAGCAATTTAGTTCAGTGGTGGTTTACCTGACTTCAACCTTCCTTATTGATTATATTGATTATTCATTACAAGGCCTAGATTTTTAGATAGGAGCTTGTATTGTAAACAGGGAAGGATTCCTTTTTGGTTAATTTAAAATGCCAATGCTAGCAATATTTGATGGGTTACTTTGATATTGTGGATCTTTGTTATTCATATTTTTGATATTTTTCCTGCTTTGTATGAGTTTTTTCCCCCAACCTCTTTAAGAAACTGCAACTGTTTAATTATTTTTAAGAAATTGCACTAAAGTCAGGAATTATAGGAGGCTATTATTAAAATACATAGACAAATAATTTTTCCTATGCTTGAAAAAATAGGGCTGCTGCTGCTGCTTATCTTTGAATATATTACATGCAGATGCACACACACACACACACACACACACACACACACACACACAGTATACCATACTTATTGCTTTGGTTGATTTTTTTTTAAAAAAACCCTTTTTTACATTTATCAACTTCTTATCTAATTTCAGGGGATTTTGAGTGTTATATAGTTGGCTGTTGGCTTCAAATGCTTATAAAAATCTGTAATACTGTAAATGCTTTTACTACTTGTTTTTAATGATTATAATAACTAGTTAATTTGAGGGAAAGAAAATTTTAACTGAAAACTTTCAGATCCGCTTTGTTTATCCAATGTTTTCTTTAAAAAAAACAAAACCAACCCCCCCCCCCCAAAAGTGTAGTTAAAAATGATGAAATAGTTTATGTAACTTGTCAGTTTCACTATTGCTGTTGAGTCAAATATAGTCCAAGGTCACTACCATACAGGGATTTACAGTTAGAAAGGAAGTTGTCAGATATACAATTGAATTGTATCATAATAGCGTCATTGGTGAGGATAAGTATGAAATACATGCATCTACCTTAAACCGGAAGAATAATCCTTAGATGTAATCAACAAAAGAAAATTGAAGGGATGGAAGCAATGAGTAAAGAAGCAGCTTTATTCAAGAAACTACCATTACTATTAAGGATAAGTTTCACACATAACAAAACAACAGTACATTTTTTCCCAAAATGGTATAGGCATGAGCTTATTAGACAGGACAAAAATTGTATCTTTTGTAACACAGACTATTTAGTATAGGTAGCTTTATCAGAAATCAAGAGCTAAAATCTTCTGATAAGATATTCATGTTCAACCAATAGTTTGTTAACTAATTTCAGTGCTATCAATTTGTGTGTGAACTTTGCTCAGAAAACTTTTTAAGTAGGATAAAAAAATGCATCCTTGCATTGTAAGCAAAATTTCCTCAAAAAGGTTAAATATATTCACTTTCAATATAGTGAAATTCAAATATGCCAAAACTGAGTTTCAAAATTGCTATGTTTGATGACATTTCACCTTGTAAAACATGAATTTCTAGACATTTGTTCAAAGACATGGAATAGTTATGGCCCATGAAAAAGATTTGTTAAGGTACTGAACTACTAATTGTTATTGCAACTCACCAACAATAATTCATATATATACATTTGGAAACAAACTCCACTAAATTTAGTCAGATTTTTAGCCAGGTATGTGTATAAAAGGCAAAAGTTTTTTTTACACTCAAAACAGATACTCCGAAAAACATTAGAATTACTAGCTTGAATTACATTCTGCAAGTATAATAAAAGTATTTAGATATTACAGTAATCAAGATAGTACAGTAATCAAATAATGTGCCTGAGTGAGTGATGACTTTAGAAATAAACATTTGTTAACTTATTTTTATGGAAATTAGTCAGGAGGCTAAGTATTACAGATAAAATTTCTTAATACAATATATTACGACCTATATGTACTGGTACTTAGAAAGTCTTTTTGGATTGACCTGTAAACATTTTTGGAGCTGAATGGTGCATTTAGCCTTTGAGAGGCTTTACTTCAAAAAAATCACTATTCTAAAGAAATAAATAGCGTACTAAATTTATTTTATATTTAAACTTAATTGACATTTCATCAGTCAAATAGATACAATTAATATGGCTTTTCTCTATGGATTCCCTATTTTTCCGTTGGTCATATTAAAACTTATAATTTGGCAGCTAAAATTGAAAAGTTTTTGGAGGTTGAAATAAAATATTTTGGGTGCCATATATGTCCTTCACCCCTACTTTAAATACCACATCTGTTCCAAATGGGAAAATGTGTAATAAGGCTAAGGTGGAAATTGTAGAGAATTTAGGAAATTTCTGTAGTAAAGATTTATGGCATCTCCATTGCATTGCCTGGGTATCATTGTAGTGATATAAAATTTGTTTGTGCCACTTTTATTTTGGCACAACAATGGTTGGGAGGATTCTAGAAGGTATTATAAATTGCTAGTGTGGAAATAGTCTTTGTGAAAGGGCTTGTCATTCTTGGTTTTGATGCCACTCTGAAAGCAGCAGTATTCAACATCAACTGTATTGAAGACCTAAATTCTGTCTCAGATGAAAGTGCTCTGAAGCAATTTTGGGGTCTTTTTGAGATGTTGTGACTTTATTTCATTTTTGGAATAAACCTTCCTCAAACCTTCCCACAGCTTCAGACCCTTTAAGAGAAGTCCCAGTGATGGCTTTGTACTTAGGTTTTGGCAGAGTCTACAGAAAGCTAAGAAGCATGAATCTGACAAATATTTTCTCTTTCTTCTTTCTGTCAGCACTGAATCTTTTATTCTCCCATGAGCTGTTCAGAGCATCCAGGAGTGGGAGGTGCTTCAGTCTCCGCATGTCTAGGCTGGGCTTAATTTGTGGAACGCTCCTCCCCCTCCACAGTACTCCTCCCCAGCGTTCCCCAGTTTTTGCTCAGCCTCATGAGAGATAGGCAGTGCTTGTGATTCTTCCTTGGCCGAAACAGGAAAAATTCTTTCGTTGCCAGCAGGTTTGACAGTTAATCAGCTTGTCTTTAGCCTATTCCATTCCGATTTCTCAAGTTGGCTCGCATTGTAGAGATCGCAGCCAGACAGGTCCAACTTAGGGAAGTGCCAATTCGCGCCCCAAAGCGGCGAGAGGCTTCAGCGCTGCTTTGCGCCCCTCCCCACAGTCCGATATTTCTACCCCTGCCATTTCAACTGATTGCCGCAGCGTTTTCTTTTAATCAATCAGCGGTGAGTTTTCGCTCCAAACTGAGTCGTATCGCTCTTCCCCCCCTCTGAAGGCCATTGGAGTGGGGGATTCAAACACTTGGTACCTTCCACCCTTCCCCGCCGCTTAGCCTCATAGAAAAAAGCCATCGGAGGCTATTCATTTACAATGCGGGAGTTTGCTGCTGAGGAGCGTGCCAAAAGATTAATGGCCGGAGGCCATCTTTTCTTTCAAGACCTCGTGGCCGTGCGCTCGTATTCCTTCTCGTGCTGTGTGAGGTAGCTCTGCTCGGAGCAGAGGTTGCCTTCAGATATTCTGGGAACCATTATACCCTCGTCTTGGTTTGTTCTTCATTCGAGGCTATTCTTACATTTAAATTGTTGGCTTAACCCTCACAGCCCAATCAACCCAGCGGCACAACAGCGAGCACCCAGGCCTGTGTCCGCCTGTGCAGGGAAGCTGTTGAAGGCCTCTACCCTTATCAATCTGGGCCTTTAGGCGTTCGCAATTTGGCTGTTTGGTTTTGCTCTGCACGCAACATCGTGCCACTTAATTAACATTCTTATACTTATTAACATGGATATAGATATATTAGTGTAATAATAAAAATAATAATTTTCTCTTAAGTATAATATTTTAATTTCAATAAAATATTATTACTGAGATACGACT